GAAAATGGTGGTTGTGACAATAGTCACTATGGGCTGATGACACGTGTCTAGCTCCTCTTGAAGCTCACAATTTGTTATGGTAACAATCCGATGGGATGAGCATTACTTCATTTCAAGACAGGGAAACAGTGTAGAGATTCTCTCACTAGACAAGGTTTCATACCTGGGTTTCAAATTTGGACATCCAGCTACCAAGCTAATGGGTACTCTTATTGCTTCAATAAGTATGCCCGCCATCCATTCTTTCATGCAAACAGTATTTATTGAACATAATCATGCTCTAGGGTGGCACTGTGCTAAGCACTAGCGACACAATGAACAAAAAGGCAGGATCCCTACCCTCACTGACTTTACAGCCTAATGGAGGACAGACAAAAATGCAGACTGCAAACTATGAATAGTGCAAGAAGAAAGTTACACAGTGTTTTTCTAGTGAGGCAGCAAGATAGGGCCAGACATATATGACTTTGAGCTATGAGAAAACCAGCTCAGGGGTTCCACAAGCAATACCATTCAAAGGTGGAACAGATCTCTTCCAATAAACAAAGAAAACACAGGCAGTCAACATTAGATTCTTTCCTTTCAGGGACTTCTTCCCTGCTGTAAAGAAAAACTCCAGGAATTGGAGACCGGGGGCTCTTGGACTTGCTGGAACCACTCTTTGTCTTTGCACGTTTTTCACTTATAGTAAATCCATATTTTCACTATTACTGTGTCTTGCTCAGTTCACTATTACTGTGCTGTGTTTTGCTCAGTTCTTTGTTGAAGACACAAAACAAACAAGCCTTGGCCTTTGTGTCACAGGACCCCAGGACCCCCACTGTAATTTCAGAGACCAACAAATAGATCACACGATGAAATCCAGGGTTAAAGAAAGGGTAAGATCGCAACAGCCCAGATCTTATGGAGGGATTGGTAGAAGCAGAAACCCCTTACCCTTTGACCCTGTGTGTGTGTGTGTGTGTGTGTGTGTGTGTGTTTGCAATATCACATCAGCCACTATAAGCACCATTTTAAACTCTCCTGACCCAATAGGAGAGTAGGAACTGAAATTTTACATACTTCCTGGCCCAAGAAATGGGACCGAAGGCTACTTTTACCAGGATGAAATTAATTGAACCAGCTTCTATTGGATTATTATCCCCAAACTTGAGCCTTTATACATTTTTGGCTTCTCTGTCTTCTATATATGCTTACATAAATTCTATGCTGATGCTTTAAACTACTAGGCAGTAATGGCTAGAATGAGAAGGGAGGGGGAAGAGGGCTACAGGGGAGACACGGTCAGTTCACATATCCACGCAGGAGTACCGACTGGCCTGCACTTGGACACACCAGGTCTTCATCTAGCCTCTCCTGCGTTTCTTTCTTGTAGCTGTATTGGGTGCCCTCCCCACCACCACACATTGGCAGCATCTCAGTACTGCGGAGAGACTGGAGTTATATAGATTCAGAGGCTATCACTGTATCTTGGGCTAGTTCTAGCCATTTCCTGTCCTACTCTGTATCTGAACTAACACCTTATAATAATAAATAAAAACCTCTAACTTAGCAGACCTCTAGCTCCCACCAATCCAAGACTGAGAGTCATCAGATAGCATCATGGGCCTATAGAAAAGAGTCTCCTATCTCAATGCATCTGCCTCTCTGGTGTTCCCACCAGTGGGTTTTAAACTTGCCTCCATTCTATGACTTTATGTATACTTTAAAACTACAAAACCCTGTGAAACTGCTTCCATGTTGCAATATGAAGTTTGGGGGTTCCTGGGCCATGGCCACTCCTAATAATTCCAGAATAAACTCTCCCTTATTCTCTTTAAGATAAGAGGGAGGCCTATGTAAGAACATATACACTGCACGGCACATTCTTTTTGGACCCTTTCCGTCGCTCCCTAGCCTGCTTCTATTCCTGGGAGTGCTTTTCCTTTTTTAATAAGCTGTCTATTTCTATTCCATGACTAATTTAAAAGGCATGAGTTTTTTTTCCTCTACCCCTCCTCCCAGTGGCTGCTGGGGATTTCAATTAACCTGTACTATGTTTTCCTCTTAAACTCTGATGAAATTGTCCTTGAATTTTCTTTTGAGTCTATTTCTATGTTATTTTATTAACAGGGCTAAGAATCCACCAATGGAATTCAGTTTCCCTGGTAACATTAGCTTCAGAGAAATCTATACATGCCATCCCTTTCTCCACCTCCTAGCCAAAGGATCCTGGAACCTGGGAGGGTACAGGGTTGGGTTGGCCAGGAGTCCAAGCCTCTGGGGAATGGGAGGAAAGGAAGAACATGCACATACCAGTTTCTGGGTTGGGGCTTGCTTAGCATTCTCTCCATGAAAATAACACCATTGGATGTAAATCCTTGCAGAATGGGATGGATCCCATCTGGTTTAGGGAGGCCCCTCCCGTGACCAAACCTTCAAGCGTGCACTCTTCCAGAAAGGAGAGGCAAAGGCACAAGCACAGATGTTACCTGACTTAGGGTCTCAGGCTATGACCAGCACACAAAGTTCATCCTCAACAAGCAAATTAAAACAGCAAATTAATAGTGAAAAGCAGAAAAGAGAAACTGACTCAATGTGATCACACTGGGAAGAGGAACAAAGACCTCCCTGCTTCAAGTCCACCTTCAGGGGTCCTGAAGTGAGATTAAGGCTGAAGCAGGGGGCCAGAGTTACACATATCTGAGTAGTCCCAGTCAAGGTGTGGTCCCATCCACACTGACCTATCATTGCCTGTAAAAGACTTGGAACAGTTGTAAATCTCTCTCCAGAAGAAAAGTCTCCCCCTTGGCTGGCTCAGGCTTTAGGCTTTGTCTTCTCTCAGCATGAGATTCCTGGGGTAGTTCAGTTTCTCACAGGAGACCGTGTATGACAATGTCTGATGGCAAAAGTGAAGGACAGAAGCATCTCCAAATCTTCATCTCTGTCACACAGGTTTCAAAGGTACTATGCCAAGGTATGGATGGACCGTCCAGGGTCTGGCTACCTCTCAGAGTTAGACACAATCCTGTTTCCAGCCATGCAGCCCTAGAAATCAGGTCCCTCATTCATTCACTCTGAGCTCTTAAAAGGTGTAGTGGACTTGAATATTTCCAATAGACTGAACTCCTTTTGGGAATAAGGGACAATGTATACACATAAATGTAACGTAACAGGGCGAGAAAGTATACACCTACAGAAAGGTCAGATTCTCTGTTAAATTTTATAAAAATAACCATATAAAAGACAAAGTTCTAACTGGAAAGACATATTTTAAGTGCAATTTAAGCATTGAACTATATGGGATTTTCCTCTACTTTTATATTTCCTGAAGTTCTAAAATAATCACAGACTACATTTGAGTTGTCAAGGTAACAAGTTCAATTTTAGCATATTAACTCATTACTTCAATAGCTAGTTATTGAGCACTATTGCCCCAGGCAGTTCTAGGCACAACAATGATCATGCTTTGTATGTCAAGATCCAGGAAGGCTCATACAGCTGAAGCAAAGTGAGAGGGTTAGAATCATGAAGGCCGTACAAATTTGCACTTCCACCAGCAATGGAGGAGTGTTCCCCTTGCTCCACATCCTCTCCAGCGTGAGCTGTTGCTTATGTTTTTATCCTGACGGGTGTAAGATGGAATCTCAGAGTCTTTTTGATTTGCAATTCCCTGATGGCTAAGGATGTTGAACATCTTCTTAAGTGTTTCTCGGCCATTTGAGATTCTTTTGTTGAGAATTCTGTTTAAGTACCCTTTTTTTGTTTTTTGTTTTTTTTTTTTTTGCTTTTGTTTTGTTTTTCAAGGCAGGGTTTCTCTGTGTAGCTTTGGCTGTCCTAGAACTCACTCTGTAGACCAGGTTGGCCTCAAACTCACAGAGATCTGCCTGCCTCATGCCTCCCAAGTGCTCGAATTAAAGGCATATGCTACCACCACCTGGCTCTGTACCCCATTTTTTAATTGCATTAAAAAACCATATGTGATGACCTAGGCACTTTGCATATATGTGACAGATGTGTAGCTTGGTTTTCTTGTAGGACTCCTAACAGTGAGGGGAGGGGCTGTCTCTTTGGGAATGTATTCCTCATAATGGATCACCTTGCCCAGCCTTAATACAAGGGGCAATTCTTAGTTTTACTGCCATGTTTTGTTGATATCCATGGGAGGCTTGTCCTTTCCTGAATAGAAATGGAAGAAGAGTAGATGGGAGGGCAGGGGAGATGGGAAGGACTGGAAATGGAATAGGAGGGAGGAACTGAGGCTGCAATGTTAAATAAACAAACAAATAAATAAACAAAAATAATCACAAGGCCCTATTAAGCATGAAAAGATCATGGATATTATTCTTAACAGGATTAAATAAAACACTAAGAAAGCTAAATACTTTTTGCAGTAAAGACAGCAAGAAAGTTCCTAACTGCATGGTTTCTACTGATATGGGAATATCAGGATGTCTTTAAAAAAATTCAGGGTCTCACTGTGTATCCATGTAGTGGGCTACTGAACTATAGCTATGCTATCTCATGAAAGAATTCCTAAGAATACTTTAAGTACTAAAACTATCTTGGGTAAAACTGGTCTCTGGTCATTTAGATAAATTTGCGATAAATTCCTAAGGTAAAGTGGTCTATGAACCAACCATAAATTCACATAAAATGAAGGTTCTGGGAACAGCCTGACCAGTTAACTGCAATCTCTCTGCTTCTGTGACCACTTGCTTGCTGCAGATGTCCAGAGCTGTCTGTCTATGTACATTACAATTGTGGTCCTTGCCGTTAAAAACTCAACAAAATGGAGGTCAAGGCTGCTTCCCACTACTCTGCTTGGGACATCCCAACTAGAGGTAAAATAAAGACGCCATAACAACCACGGCCAGCCTGGGACTCTTTATAGAGACCAGAATGGTCTTGAACTCACAGGGATCCTCCTTCCTCTGCCTCCCCAGTGCTGGAGTGAAGGCTTGCTCCTCTACACCTTGCTGGGCTGTCTTTGGAGAGAAAAATGAATAGACCACAAAGGGTGAGTTCTAGAGAGAAATTTATTATGTAGTGGTAGCTTAAAAGAGAAAGGGAGATAGCAAGAAGGGCTCCAAGAAATAGGCTTGAACTGTGACACTGGGTCATTTTAAAAAGGACATCTGGCAAAACTGGGATGACTTATGAGAGGCAGATGAGTTGTTCAGCCAGGTGTCTGGGTGCCTCCTCTCAGTTTCATCCTCATGGAGGGTTTGCAGAGGTGCGCATCTGGAGGAGGGAACAGATGCAGACTCTTCCAACATCCTTGGGTTTGCCGCTTTGGGGGTCCCTGCTCTTCCTGGCCAGCTTCTAATGCCTGCTCTCATCATCCTTCCTGCAGTGAAGACAAGCCTAAAGTCACTTAGGAATCAGACTTGGTATCAGAGCCACAAACATTCCTGGCACTTCTGTCCTACATCTAGGACAGGACCAAGGGCATTTTCAGCTGATGTCCAAGGACATGACTCAAGGTCCCAGCCTTAAATTTTCTGAACCATCTTTGTCTCCTGTTCCTGCCTCTGAAAAGGTAAAGCTATAAATTACCATTTAAGGAATTGGAGCAATGGCCAAATCTGGCTTCTTCCTGCAGGTTGGAGTTACTGGGTGTGGCAGTTGTAGTACCCCTCCAGTGCATCTAGGAGACTATCTAGAGAATGTTAAGATGATATTAGTGGTGCCATTTGTAATACAGCCAAATGTAGGGAGGGGAAAAAACTTCGACTGGTCCCTAGATAGAGATATGAGAGAGAAGTAAAGGCAAGTGGTATTGGCATTACAAATCTAAGGCAGGGGAAGCTGGAGCTTTTAAAATGTCTGAGTTAAAGTATGGTGATATATTTTTTTATGATTTATTAAAGCTTGCCCGAAGACTCAGAAAACAAAGTCAGCCACTAGCTATAGAGGTCAGGCAGTAGTGGCACACACCTTTTATCCCAGGACTCAGGAGACAAAGGCAGATGGATCTCTGAGTTCAAGGCCACCCCAGACCTACACAAGATTGAATCAGTCTGAAAGAGTAACAGAGCTCACACCTTTAATTCCAGGACTCGTGAGAGGTATTTAAGGCAGGAACAGGGTCTCAGAGCTGGCATTCCTTCTCCAGTCACACTGAAGATAGGAGTCTCAGGATTCTCCAGCCTTGTTGAGGAGAGCATAGCAATCTGGGCTTTCAGTCCGAGGTTGAGTGGAGCCAGGATCGCCTTACAGCCTGAGCTAGAGGTAAGACCTAGTGGCCAGCTGCTTTCCTTTTCTGATCTTCAGCTTGAAGCTTGAACTCTAGTACCAGTCTCTGAGTCTTTATTTATCATTCTACATTAAAGTCCTTCAGAACCCCTAATAGGCTCACAAGAGCATCTATCCACTGGGTTCCTCCTGTAGGTTTTTCCACTTGGCTTCCAAAGATTGACTGGGGAGTGATGAGCCCAGGATATTTTAGGTGATTCGATAGCTCTTGGGTGACTGGCATTACGGCATCAGTTCCCTCCAGGGTGTTTTCTGGGGTGAGAGAAGAGACTTTATCAGTGTTTGATTTTTAGGTTAAAACAATTGTGGGCATGTCTTACTCAGCTGTAGGCCCCACGTAGACACTGAGATGCTCAAATTGAGCCAACATCATGATGTCCTATATCTGGGAAGCATATGTTCAGAATTATTGACCGGCAGCCTAATAACAGAATGTAGTCTGGATAGGCTATTTCCTCCCTTCATTTAATCACATCAACCTCTCCAGTACCACTGGGTGACTCTGGAAATACTAGCAAGGGATGGATTGAGAGCCTTGCTTTTAAATAAAAAAAATTAATGTCTATAACCCCAGAAATCAAGAGGATGATGCAGGAGGATTTCTATTAAGTATGAAGTCAACATCAATTACCAGAGGAAGTTCCAGGTCGCTGTGTTTAACCTTCCTGGTAGGAGAAAAGATACTGGAAAGTGACACATGATCCTTTCTCTGTCTATCAAACTATTGAAAGGATGACCTAAAAGAAAATGAAATGCCCCACAAGAATCTTGTGCTGGGGAAAGGAAAAGGAAAAGACTGAACTCTATGCCAGTTAGAGAAGGAATTTGTCTTCAGGAAGAAATTTCACTGTTCCAGTAACTTGTCTGATCACTTTGTAGGAGACACTGTAGCCTAGACAATGCTGGGCCAAGGATGCAGAGTTGTGCATATTCTCTTCCCTATATTTAAACCCAAACCTCATGTGGGAACCTGAAGAATGGCTGGGGAGGGGAGGTCACAGTGAACCTCTTGGTTCCTCACTTTAGGGTGACTATATTAGGTCAGTCTCCCTTTCCTGCATTTTACTATGATTTGTTTCTTTAATTGGCCTATCTAGGACTGGTGGCCTCAAGACCTAGCTTTTTACAGGGGCCAGGATCTGGGTTTGGCCCTAATGACTTCAAGAACACTTAGGGTACAAAGTGAGAGCCTTTCTCAGAACAAAAAGAACAACAACCAGGCAATGAGCATTCAAATACATGAGTCTATGGGGAGTATTCTCATTCAAACCACCACACCTGTAAATTTCATAATTTTCCTTACTAGCTGAGTAATATTCCATTGTGTAAGCATGCCGCATTTCATTATTGACCAGTGGAAAGACATCTAGGCTGTTTCTGTTGCCTGGCGATAGTGAATAGAGCTGCAATGAACACGGCTTGGCAAGAGTATCTATAGTAGGGTTTGGGGTCTTGGTGAGCATTCCTAATAGCTGAATCATGTGTTTCCTCTATTTTCAGTGCTTTAGATGAACCTGTACACCGATTTCCTTTAGATGAACTTGGATACCGATTTCCTTTAGATGAACCTGGACACTGATTTCCTTTAGATGAACCTGCACACTGATTTCCTTTAGATGAACCTGCACACTGATTTCCATAGTGGCTGACCAGTTTGCACTCCTACTAGCAGTGAATAAAGTGAAAAATGTCCCTCTTCCCCTACATGCATGCCACTATTTGGTTTTTAATCTTAGCCATTCTGACTGGTGTAAGATAAATCTGAAAATGGTTTTAATCTGCATTTCCCTAATGGTTTAGGGTATTGAACATTTCTAAAACTGTTTCCCGGCCATTTGTATTTCAGCTTTTGAGAAATCTCTGTGTAGCTCCATCCCTCGTTTTAAAACTAGATTGTTTTCTTGATTATTCTTTATATATTCTAGATATTAACCCTTCATCTGTACACTTGGCACAGTTTTTTTTTCCAATTCTGTAGACTTCCTCCTCACTTGAGTGACAGTGTCCTTCGCTATACAGAACCCTTTTCATCTCGTGAGGTTCCATTTATGGTTGGTCTGTATGCCGGTGCTATTGGCATTCTGTTCAGAAAGTCCTGCCTTGTGCCAACGAGTTCAAGTGTATTTCTACTTTCTCCTGTATCTGAGTCAGGGCATCAGTCTTATGTTGAGATCCTTGATCAATTTGGAATTGATTTTTGTGCAGGGCGACAGACATAAAACCAGTCAGGACAATTTAGTTAAAGGTTTGTCAGTATTGTTAATCTTGTCAAAGAACTGTGTCTTAAGGTTTCAATTGCTGTGATAAGACACCATGATCAAAGCAACTCTCATTTTACAACTCTCTGGTTACACTCCATCACTGAAGGAAGTCAAGTCAGGACTCAGGTAGGAACCTGGAAGCAGGAATTAAAGCAGAGGCCATGAGGGAAGCTGCTTAAGATTCACAGCAATCATAATCAAGAAAATGTCATATAGACTTGTCTACAGGCAATATGGTGGAGGCATTTTCTCAACTAAAGTTCCTCTTCCCAGTGTAGGTTAAGTTGACAACAACGAACTCAAGACAAATCAACTATTTGTTTCACTGAATTTTTGTATTTGTTGGTTGTTCCTTTCTGTTTTATTAATTTCAGCCCTGACTGATGATCTCATCTTGTCTACTTTTTCGGGTTCTTCACTCTCAAGTTTTTTTTTTTTTTTGATGTAGGCAGTTAGAACTGTAAATGTTCCACTTAGGGCTGCCTTCATTATGTCCCATGGGTTTTCGTTTGTTATTTTCATTTTCATTGAATTCTAGGAATTAAAAAAAAATCCTTCTTGATTTATTCCTGCACCCAATTTGGCTCAGTAGTGTGTTGTTGAGTTTTTATAAAATTGTGTTTTCTGTCCTTTCTTTTGTTGATGATACCCAGCTTAAATTCACGTGGTCAGATGGAATGCGGCTATGAATCAGGTTCTCTGTATTTGTTGAGACTTATTTGTGTTCTCACGCGTGGTCTATATTTGGAGAAATCCTCATGGGCTGCTGAAAAGAATGTGTATTCTTCGGTGCTTGGGTCCACTAGATTTATGGCTACTTAACTCCACCATTTCTCTATTTTAGATTTTTCCAGATGACCTGTTTATTCATGAGACTAGGACACTGAAACCTCTCACTATCACTGTGTTGGCACTGGTCTGTGGCATTAAATGTAAGTGCTCTTCTTTTATGAAATTGGGTACTTCTAAGTTTGGTGTATATATGTTTAAGATTGTAAAATCTTGTTTGGTGGATTTTTTTTCCTTTAATGACTACAAAGCAGGCTTGGTTTGAAATTTATTTTACAAGAAAGTGGAATAGCTATGCCTGTTTTTTTTCTTAGTTCCATATGCTTGGGATACCCTAAAGTGATGTCTTCAGCAGTAAAAAGATGAATCATGTTTTCTGATCCAATCTGTTAGCCTGTGTCTCTTCATTGAGGAGATGAGATCATTAATGTTAAGAGTTACTATTGGATAGTATATATTAATTCTTGTTATTTGTGGTGTTCTACCAGACATTTTTAATTTGGTGATCTTGAGTTGTTTATTTGTTCCTTGGGTACGCTCTCTTCAGACCTAACTATCCCTTCCAGTTTCCTCTGTACATTATACTTAGTAGCTACATATCCCTTTAATCTGTTTTTGTAAAGGAAATGTTTCCTTTCTTCTTTGATAATGATTCATAGTTTTGGTGAGTACAGTAGTCTAGGATAGTATCTGTGATCTTTCATAACTCAGTCCAATCCTTTTGTCTTTCACAGTATCCATTGAAAATTGGCTCTTTGTCTGAGGGGCCTACCTTTGTATAATACTCATTCTTTCTTTCCCACAGCTTTTAATATTCTTTGTGTGCTCTGTTTACAGTTCTGATTATTGTCTGATGTGGGGAGTTTCCCTACCTGGAGAAGAAGTCAGGCGTAAGACATGCGGCCCTTGTGGCAGAGATGGGTCTCCAGGATGGGTGGAGTTACTGGTACAGGTCTGGTGCTACTCCCTGGACGGGAGTTGTCCTCAGGTCACATGGACTGGCAGAGTTTGTGGCATAAGTCCAATGTTTCTGTCTGGAGAAGATGCCAGCAAGAAGCCAGAACTCTGTTCTTCCTGAAATCTCTTGTCTAAATTTCTTTTCCATAGCTGAAATCAGATACCATGACCAAGGTGACTTATAAAAGAAATGTTGGGCTTACAGATTCAGGTTAGAGTCCATGACAGCAGAGCAAAGGCATGGCAGCAGAAACAGCTGAGAGCTCACATCTTGATCTGCAAGCAGAAGGCAGAGACAGAGAAAAAGAGAAAGAGAACACTGAGAATCACACAAGTCTTTGAAACCTCAAAGCTCAGCCTCAGATACACTTCCTCAAACAAGGGAACACTTCTTCTAATCCTTCCCAAATAGTTACACCAAGTGGGGGCCAGGTATTCAAAGATGGGACCACTATCATTCAAACCACCACATCCCACCCCCTGGCCTCCATAGGCTCTTGGCTATATCTTATCATAATGCAAAATGCATTTAGTTAACTTCAAAAGTCTTCATAGTCTTTTGCATACTCAACACAGTTTAAAAGTCCAAAGTCTCTTCTGAGACTCAAGGAAATCCAGTCTCTTAATTGCAATCCCCCAAGGGGAAAAAGCAAATTATATACTTATAACTTGTATGTTTGTATAGGCACAGACTATATATTACTATTCCAAAAAGGAAGGAATGGCAACACAGTGGGGACATACTGGACCAAAGAAAGAAAAAAATCCATCAGACATAACTCCAATTCCTGTAGCTTTATGTCTGACGTCAAAGAGCTTAGATGGTTCCAACTTTGCTGCCTACGCCACACTTGTCTCCCTTGGGCTTGTTCCACTCTGTCTGCATCTCTTCCTAGCAGATGTCTCACAGCTCTGGCATCTCCAACATCTTGGGATCTCCACTGCAACCCAGATTTTACTTTCACAGCTTCATTAATGGTCTCATAGGGCGTTCATTCAGGGACTGCCATTCTACACATTTCCTGACCTCAGCAGCTCTCTGTAACCTCAGAGGAAGAATCCACAATGCCTTTACTAGTGTATCCTCCATGACTCTAAAGCCACAGCCATGTGGATGAAGCTTCAAGGTTTGGCTGCCTGCTTGGGATGGAACCATGCAGAAATTTTACTTTGTTGTTGCTTTTCAGGAGCAGAAAATTTTTGAGGCCTTTCTTTTTAAATTTGGAAGCTTAGCTGGGTGGAGTCTTGTCTTGAGGTTATGTTTTCCTTTTTTCCATTTAAGATCAGGCCTCTCTTTACTCTTCTTGCCTCTTTCAGTGTAAGCCTTGGTTCCAAAATTAAATTTCCTGGTGTTTGTTTCCCTTTAAACTATTTTGTACTTGTCCTCACACCCGCCCCCCCTCAAATACTTGATCCTTTTCCTTATAGGCCTGCATAAGAGGGATTACTAATGACAGTGTGGCAGAGTCAATTTTAGACTTTCTTGAAATTCCCTCCACCAAGGATATTAATCCAATACCCTTCAATTTAGGACAAGGGCAGAAAGCAGCCATATTATTGACCCACAAAAATGGTTCCTAGTTCAGTATGCTGCAGGGGCCATCTATTCAGGACTGATGTCTTTGGGGTTGTGATCAGAACCAGTCTAACAGCCCCAGGTCCGACCCTGAGTGGAGGAATGTGGACGCAGGACAGGCTAACTACCCAAAGGCATTAAGGATGAGACAAACACATCTGGTCATATCAGGAAGGCTCCCAGTCAATATTGAATGGCCTGGTTTATTGCTCCATCATCTTAAGTAACCATCCAAAGGCGGGGGCAATGGCAGAAGACATTTATTATCATGTATAAAGGGCTGATAGGAAATATTCCTTTTAATCCTAGAGACACTCCTAAGTAGTAAGTACCCAAGCCCTCAGGCATCCAACACCAGCACATCTCACTAGCCCTCAGGTGGGTGTAGACTCACCCTGGCTCAAGACTTTTGTTCTGCAGATATAGGAGTCATTCCCCACCAAGGCCAGGAATCCAGAGGTAGTCAGCTGATATCTAAAAGACAATAGTTCTGAGCTCTTAGAACTCGTGGCTAGACAGAACATATTTCTAAAAATATTACATGGACCCTAACAGTTCAGCTACTAATATTGTCCCATCTGAAACCTCTCTAGTTGTTCTTCCACAATCCATATAGCTCTCAGCATTACTGTCTTCTAAGGTCCTATTAGGATGGCCCATTAGACTCTGTTTATAGTATTTAACTACATTTCTAGCCCAATGTACCAAAGGCTTCCAGATGTCCCCCTGCCCCAAACAGCATCATCAAGTCTGATACAGAAACACCTCCACTCCCTGGTACCAACCTCTGTCTTAAATTACTTTTCAATTACTGTGATAAGACACCATGACCAAGGCAACTTATTGAATAAAGGGTTTATCAGAGGGTTAAAGTTCAAGACCATCATGGTGGGGACAGGGAGCATAGCAGCAGGCAGGCAAGCTGGTACTGGAGCAGTAGCTGAGAGATTATACTCTAATATACAACCATGAAGCAGAGAGAGCTAACTGGGAATGTGTGGACTTTTGCACCTCAAAGCCCGCCCCTAATGGCACACCTCCTCCAACAAGGCTACCCTTGAATCCTTCCCAAACAGTTCCACTGACTGGGGACCAAGAGTTCAAGCATATGAGCCTTGGGGGTCACTCTCATTCACACCGCCATATCTCTCAATCAGGAACTGAATCATTTCAGCAGGGCTTTTCTAATCATTTCTGCCAGGTGTCGTAAGCATCCCACTGGGTGATGTACTCTGTCTGTCTGTTGCTTGTTAGGTGCTCTTTTACTTGAATGCGTATTCTGGAGGAAGGCGGGGGGGGGGATGCTGTGTCATACCTGAAGTCCACCTCCTTGTGAACTTGAGCTGGCTGCCTCACAGGGCTTCCTCAGTCATTTCTGATGGATGCTGTAGGCATCTAATTTGATGATGTTTTGCCATCTATCTGTAACTTGCTGGGGCTTTTTCGTTTTATTTTTGTTTGCTTCATGCTTAAGAAACTCACTCCACTCAAATCTAAAAGTACAGCTATTTTGGATCATTCTCTGGAAAGAACACCAATGATGAAAAATAACTGAAATCAAACCACCAGATGGTTAATCGTCAATATCATCAGATTATATTGTTCAGAAACAAGGAATAAATTATCAAAATAAAAGTGGAGTCATGCTGAGCATGGTAGCACATGCCTAAAAACCAGAATTTGGGAAGCTGAAGTAGGAGGACTGTAAGTTTGAGATGGGCCTGGGTTTCATAGTGAGACGGTTTCAAAGCAAACAACAAAAATGGAGTCACTTGTGACAACCCTTCCAAAGAGGTTATGGAGAAATGGTTCTTATGTGTGGGATAACTGAATGTCTTCTAACTTAGTTTCCAGCTTATATTCTGTTTATGATATGTGCTTAAGACACGTGCACCTCAAGGATGAGGTGTGAAAACAGTGTGGGGAAATGCAATAGTCTCAGCAGGAAAGAGGACGATGCTAAAGAGATGCTCACGCCCTTCTCTGTAGCTATCACACCACCTATGCAAAGTGCTTCAACAGATTGGAATTTCCCAAGAATCTCATGCTCAGAGATGGAAAAGTCTGGGAGCAGACAGCCTGTCAGAAGGGCAGTTTGTTTCCTGCAAGGAGATTGCATGTAGTTCTGTCAACTTGTCAGATCACCTTACAGGAGAGACTGCATCTCCAGACAATGATGGTGAGCAGGACCACACCTTGACAGGGATGCTTAGCCATGCATATCTCTTGCTTTTTATTTCAGCTTAAGCCTCATGTTAAGACCCTGAAAGTGGATTTGGGATAGAGGCAGGCAATGAGTCTCTTTGTTCCTCTTCACAGTGTGGCCACACTGAAGAAATACCTTTGTTGTAAACACACACACACACACACACACACACACACACACACACACACACACACACACACACACACACCATTAAGAGAATTATACAACAACATACATTCAAGAATACTATAAATAAAGCAAGTTGTGTGTTCTGGTTGGCTGGAAATGTAAGATGAAATAAATTGTTTCCTCTCTGAGTTGCTTTTAGTTATGGTCTTTATCAAAGTAGTGTTTTTAAAAAATATGCACAGCAAGGCAGCAGAATAAAGAGAGAAGTGAAAACTAAAAGAAAGAGATAGCAGACGTAAGTTCTAACATATTAAAAACTAGTAGAGAAACATTTCCTAATGATAAAATAAGCAGTTCACCAGGGGAACAGTGATTCTAAGTGTGTGTGTGCGTGTGTGTGTGTGTGTGTGTGTGTGTGTGTGTGTGTGTGTGTGTCTGACACAAACATCTCAAGAAGTAAAAATACAGTGCTAAAAGGAAGGAACCCTGCCATTACAGTTAGGGACTGCAGTCCTTGAGAAAACGACTGCAGAGGAAGTCACCACATCCCTGCCACTAAGTGTGGACAAGCAGAACACGGGCTACACTTCAGAATCAACACAGAAACTTCACGTGCATATCACAATGGGTCCTTAAGGTAGGAAGAGGCCTTAAAGATCATTTCCCCATGTCCCAGTCTAATATATTATTTTTTCTCCAATGTTTGCTCCGCCAAAAGTATCTAGCATGCTATGTCAAACTGAAGGGCAGTGAGAAGAAAAAGCAACTTTTTCGGTTAACAGTGCGCTGTGACTGATGCTAGGTCAGGAGGAAAGAAGAATCAAGAACACAGCTTTCACCTACATCCCAATAATTCTCATGATATTCACACATACAAGAATGCAGCTTTCACCTACATCCCAATAATTTTCATGATATTCACACATATAAGAATACAGCTTTCACCTACGTCCCAATAATTCTTGTGATATTCACTCTTACAAGAACACAGATGTCACTCATGTCCCAATAATTCTTGTGATAGTCACACGTACAAGAACGCAGCTTTCACCTATGTCCCAATAATTCTCATGATATCCACACGTACAGTTAACAAAAGTTAGAATATACTATTAACAGGGACTATTTCAACAGGTGCTTAGAGGCTGCTTTTACTGAAAAGCATTGACTCCTCACTTGGGCCTTACTTTTCTATTGCTATGAAGAGACACCACCACCAAAGCAACTTACAAGAACGAGAGGTTAATGGGGACTTGCTTACAATTTCAGATTGTGAGACCATGACCATCATGGCTAGGAGCATGGCAGCAGGCAGGCAGGCTTTGTGCTGGAGCAGTAACTGAGAGTTATGTGTTGAGACAACAACCAACAGGTAGAAAGGGGGCTACCTGGGAATGGGCAGGCTTTTGAAACCTCAAAGCCCACCCTCCAGTGACACACCTCCTCCAAGAAGGCCATGCCTCCCAATCCTTCCCAAACAGTTTCACTAACTGGAGACCAAGCATTTAAATATGTGAGTCTATAGGGCCATTCTATTCAAACCACCACCGGGCCACAAAATAAGGGCAAGATAAAAATAAAAACCCGACATGCCCACCTTTACCTGCATATGTAATTTGTGTCAAAGGCTAAGAGATGAGTTAGTGTCCTTAATTTCTCTAGAGACACCTGGTGTTCCAGGATCAGAACCTTTCAGGACAGACCCCCCCCTGCACATCAGTCACAATAAGGACTACTGTCCATGAGGGAGGCTGTGCTCTTAGTTATAGCAGACTAAACATCTCAAGAACTAACCAGAATTGGGACAACGATGTTCTGATGGGCAGCATCTCACCTCAAACTAGGCCTCCCGTATTCTATTTAAACTTAAATCCCAAAGACAGATCTGGAGTCCTTGAGCTCCTTTATCTGTTCTTCCTCCTAATGTAGCCACAGCGAATTCTCTATTTTCTGCTTTCCAACATTACTCAGCTCTTTAATTGATATATTAGGTTGGTGGTCTGGCCTAATCTGACAAGACCCCTGGAGTCTGAGCTTTTGCCTTAGAAACACATGTAATATTATTTCTAGCACTATAGTTTTTTTTCCAGTTCTTCTGTTTTCCCCACATTCTATTTTTCTCTAAATAGAAGACAGGATAATCTTATTTGGATTTAACTTACACATTTTACTATCCACCACCACAGCAATTTTCTGAGGTGCTCAAAGTCTGCATTCAGGGGCTGCCATCTTGACTGGCTCCAGGGTGTCTGTCTCCTCTTTGTTACTGCAGCCTGTTAGGTGAGTAGTCAGACATTAGTAGACTTCGAAGACATTGAGGATGGACCAGGCCAGCATAATCAGCTTTAGATCCCATCTCCTGTGTTCCTGGGAACTTACTAATTTAAAGAGAGGGGACCATACCACAAGTGGAACTTCTGAGAATTTGAAAAGAACACATGAAATGTGGGAAGCTGTCGGCAGCAGGGTTTTGTTGAAGCCTGTTATGGGAAGAATACTTCCTCTCTGCAAACTATGACTATTTCAGGGATGTATTATTTACTGTGATTTTTAATTCTCTTGACTATGCTCTGTTATATGACTTTTGGTCAGAAGAGTGGAATCTAATTCTCCTTTGGCCCTAGGTGGGTCAAGACATTATAAGATTTACAAAGGCAAACTACTGACCCTTCTGTTAAATGTCAGTCAAAAGTCAAAATGGGGCTGTCAATCACCTGGATAGGAAAATACCCCCCCCCCGAAACCTGCTGGCTCCAGAATCTTCAAGATACCATGATACACTTGAAAACAATGAGAAGGAGAAGAATAATTTAAGTGCCCATGCCAGATGCCCCTCCCTCTCTCAGTGACAGCTGCATACACCTCACTGCCAAGTCTGCCCTTGTGAGCTTTTGGAGTTCTCCCAAATTATAACTTTTTCGTTTTCTTCTTCTTTTTTAATCTCCTATTTATTTCTGGATAGTGGCCAAATCCTGACATTCTGGGTATTCTCACTTCTCTCTTTGAAGTCCCCACTGGCCCACACATACACAGATGCTGATAGACCTCTACTGCTCAGCCTGCCTGGCTTTCTGACCTCATTTGGAAAACGTGACCCTCTCTCTTCCTCTGATCCAGATCCCCCTGTCATCCAGACCTAAGATCTCCAGTTTGCCTACATTGCTGTGTCTATCCTCTCAAAATTCAATAAAATTGCTCTCAAGTTTCATTCTGAGCCTATTTTCAATGTATTTTCTCTTGATGACTAAGAACAGCAGCAAGGTAAAGCCTGTGACAGTAATGCAGACCAAGACTTGTAGCTCTTCAGCAGACTGGGAGAAGGTGACATTTTCAAAATTAAATGAGAGAATAACAGAGAAAGGTTACAGAAAATATGAATAGAAACATGATAGTGTGGTAAGGTGTGACCACTGTTATTTTTACATTTATTTATTTTATGTGTACATGTACATGCATGGAGTGGGGTGCACATTGCATTGGCCATGGCGTATGTGTGGATGTCAGGAGGTAACTTTTGGGAATCAGTTTTCTCCTCCCACCAGGGTTCTGGAGGTATAACTTAGATGCATAAGTAGGGTTTCTATTGTTATGATAAAATGCCATGACCGAAGGCAAGTTGGGGAGGAAAGGGTTTATTGTGCCTTACAAATGAAGTTCATCACTGAGGGAAGCCAGGGCAGGAGCTAAGGACAGGAACCTGGAACAGGAGCAGATGCAGAGACCACAGGAAGCACTGCTTACTGCTTGTTCCTCATGGCGCCCTCAGTCTGCTTCCTTATATACCCCGCCCAGGACCACCAGCCCAGGGGTAGCACCACCCATGGTGAGTCAGACCTTTCCACGCCAATCATCAATCAAGAAAATGTCCCACAGACATGCTCAGAGGCCAGTCTCATGACAACTCTTCAATAGAGGGTCCCTCTTCTCAGGTCCTTTGTACAATGTGAAGATTTGTCATTCAATAATAACAAATTGGTTTGAACAGAACAAAGTTAGGCAGGATAGCCAGACTAGGAAAATGCTGGGAAGCAGAGAGGTGGAGTCAAGAGTCGCCAACAAATGCAGAGAAGCAAGATGAGAATGCTGTACTGAGGAAAGGTACCAAGCCATGTGGCTAAACATAGACAAGAATTATGGGTTAATTTAAATGTAAGAGTTAGCTAGTAACAAGCCTGAGCTATTGGCCGAGCATTTTGTAATTAATATAAGTTTTTGTGTGTTTATTTGAGACCAGACAGTCAGGACAAAAGGTATTGTTTACACTAATGTATTAGTTTGTGTCAAGTTGGTAATAAACAACTTAACAAAGGTGTGCTGGTAAGGAATCCATTGTGTCTAACTCAGTAAATCAGCAAATCCCCAATGCCATCTAATTAACCAGAGGACAACCAATGAAATTAGAAGTCATGTTAAATATTCCAATGCTTACCTCAAATAACTTCAACTAACAAATAAAGAAATGCAGAATGAGTAGCAGAATTTAAAGACTAGATTAAGCTATCTTTTATATCTAAGAAACACATTCCAGTGTTAAAGCCATTCATGGACTGAGAGCCAATTGATCAAATGAAGGAAAACTTAAAAAAAAAACCGATACAGCTGTTTTGATAACTGATAGAGTTGTCCTCAAACTGAAACTACTCAGAAGAGATAAAGATGGCTGCTACATACTAATAAAGGAACAGCCCACAGAGAAGAAATGACAATTGTAAATACATGTGTATTAAATTCTGGGACTTTCAGTTTTATACACCAAACACTAACAGACATTGGCTGTCAGATGGTCCTGGTACAATAATAGTGGATGATTTCAATACCCATTCTCATCTCTAGATAGGCCATCTAAACCAAAAGTCAACCAAGAAATCTAAGACTTAAATTACACCATAAATCAAATGGATATTACATTACATCTACAGAAACAGAACAAACTTTTTTTCAGTGTCATGGGCTATTGAACTATAGTCATACCATCTCGCGAAAGTATTCTTAAAATACTTTAAGTGCTAAAATTATCTTGAGTAAACTGGTCTGTCATCATGTGAGACAGTCATAAATTTACTGGTCACAAAGATAAGCCTTAAAATTCACTGGTCACGTAGGCCAGCCATAAAATCCTATACAATGTGTTCCTTGAACTGAAGGTTATGGGAATTAACTATGATCTTTCTACTTTTGTAAACACTTGCTTGCTTCCTGCAGAAGTCACAGCTACCACTCTCTGTATACATCACACCATTTTGAGTTTTGTTTTTAAAAACTCAAACAAATTGGAGGTTGGAGCTGCTCCCTATAACCCTGCCTAGGTGGCCCCAAGGCAAAGACTAAAGGCTCTGTATAATTTGACTTATTCAGGCCTCTTGGTGGGCTTTTCTCAGGGACCACATAACATCAGCAGCCCATGAAACCGTCTC